TTTTTAACCAATATAGAATGGGTTTTAGAAATGACACACACACAAAAACAATCAAACAATGTAAGCAGACAATACTTTAGTAGAATAATGTTTAGTCACACTAAATGAGTTAATCTCATGATCAGATAATTTATAACTTGGAGCTATACTTTCAAGACTTTTGAGAAATTACAGACCATGAAAGAGCTGCCAGAGGTAATGATGTGGACAAATGTCTCAATTTTCAGTACGAGTAAGGGGAAATTGTAAAAATTATATATTGGCACCTTGGAATAGGTCTTTATTGCAAATCCATAATTAATTATTTAACAAGCAATTAGTCAACATTTAATAAGTCATTAAAAGTTAACATGAGTTTAATAGGTAATGCCAATGCACTTCCTTTTCAAAAGTTTACTACTAATATGATGAATCAGGGAAATAGCATGGACATTGTTTAGTTATTTTGGCAATGCATTTAACAGTCTCCCATGATATCTTTGTGGGGAAGACATGAGATATGCCTGGATAATAGTGTTTTTATGCAGATTCATAGATCTGAACTACCCTAATAAATATCAGGTTCTGTAATCATGGACATGGGTCTCCAGTGTGATATTACAAAGGTTTCACTTTATCTACACATACTTTTCAGTGTTTTTGAACAGTGACTAAGTTGAAGATATTGAAGTGAAGCTTATTACATTTGACAAGGCTTGGCTGAAATATGACAGCACATGGAATAAAGACTCAAAACAATTCTGATGCCTAGAATTCTGGGTTGAAGCTAGAACATAAAATTTAATAGAAACACTTCTAAAGCCCTTTGTTTAAGTGGGAGGGAAGGAGATGCACCAATTCCAAACAGGGGAGATAATGACTTGGCAGTTCATGTAAAATAAATCTGTAAGCTGCAATTAATCAAGTTAGCCTGAGCCAAAGATATGAGGTGATGGCTTATAAAAGCAAATGTCTTAAATTGAATGGGGGTGCAAATGATAGAAAGTAATAACATTATTATAATGTGTGAGGCCACATATAAAGTAACACCGCATATATTCACTATACTTTCACTGAAAAATGTTCATTGGGTTGCTAGTATGCTCTAGTAGACATGGACTCCTCTACTCAAAAAGATTCCAGCTAGTAAGGGAGAAGAGCCATGTACACACAAGGAAAAAAAAAACAATGTAGGCTTCTACAAAAGCAATAAAAAAGGAAGAGGAAACAAACTTGTATTTAAAATCTACTGTGTATCAAATACTGCTTTACATATATTATTTTATTTAATTCCCACAACACCCACATATTGTTGATATTATTATCTTCAACATCTTGGTGAAAAAAAAAAGAAGATCCAAAAAGGATAAACAAGTTTAGATGAAATCAAGATTTCACCCATTGAGGGATCAGGAAAGTTTTTCTTGCAAGAGATTGTATTTGAACTGAATCTTGAGAGACAATGATTCAGATCTGTGAAGAAGAAAAGAGCATGACAATAAATATGAAGGCGAAAAGTACTGGATTTATTCGCAGCACAGTGAGCAATTTGGTACAGGCAAGGGGGAGTATGGGAAACAAAGATTTGGAAAAGTAGATTGGAGCCAAATTGTGAAATATTTTGACTGTCAGGCTAAGAGTTTGAAATGTATTTGCTTAAAGGCTGAGTGGCTTGATGATGAGACTGAAATAGACATAATTTTGAGGGAGAGAGAGCATCATGGGAAAGAAATAGTTCAGGTGAGAAGCAATGAGGGTCTACACTAGGGAGTAGATGTGTGAAAGAGGGTAGAGGTTGGAAAATATTTAGAAAAATATGAGGGATAGGATTTGGAAAGTAGTGGGCCCATGGAGAGAGAGGCATCAAAGAGGACTCTACACTATTAAGCTCTGACAAGTGTAAATATAGTGTTTTTATTAATCAAAACAAAGAAAATAAGAGCAAAGTATAGACTTAGAAAATAAATGACGAGTTTATTTCTGGACTTGGTGAATTTGTGGTACTCATGTGTGATGCATAGTAGGCACTCAATTGTCAGCTTTCAATAAATTAATCCAGATCATTTTGTCTAGCATAAAGTTTTTGATGGGGAGAATATTTTAAGGTATGGTTGTTGAATAAGGTTTGTGTAGAAGACTCTATCCAGGATGGCGAGAGCCCAGTATATAGAAATATTTGCAGATCAAAACTTAAAGAGAATAGAATTGTTGAGCTTTGTCTAGGAAGGGGAAGACCAAGGAGGACAATAGGTAGACTCAAATATTTGAAATATTATCTTGTAGAAAGCCAGAAGGACTTGTTCTAGATTGATCCAGAGAGCAATTTTACTGTAATTCCATTAAAGTCTATTTTCTGTTACCACAAAGGATTAAAGATGGAAGAAGCCTAGCAAGGAGCTTCAAGGAATGCCTCTCCTACAAGGAGGATCTCCTACTGGAGTTATATAAGATGAATCATGAGTAAATCTGTAGCAGAAAATTCACCTATAATAAAGGAGGCTACGGTTTCTAGAAGGAGGAATTAGCAAACAGTGTCAAATTCTGCAGTGGTGATGGAAACTAAGCGCTGAAAAACAGGGTCTTATGGTTGGCATTCAGAATTATTGCATCATTATAAAAATTTGGTTGAGAGTCTAGGAGGGACACTAAATTGAATTGGATTTAGAAGTGAGGGGTAATGAGAAAATGGAGTCAAGTGGTAAATAAACTTGACAGAAAGTAAGTTTTAGTCGGTACAGAAGGTTAAATCATAAGATGAATCACTTTCAATAACGAAGACATGACTGCATATTCAGTTTTTAAAGGAAGAGCTACGTAAATTTACCTGGGTTCAAAGAAGTGTAAAATTTCCATTTTTAACCAAAAAAAAATGGGTTGAGAAAGAACAAATGTTTTATTAATATCTTAAAAGGGAAAATGGGCTTTTATATTTATCATAAAAGTATACTTCATACTAAAGATGAAAACAAAATACAGGTCAAGGAGAGCAACTGAAAAAGTAATATTTAAAGGCTGATTAAAAAGTCTGCCCATTGCTGTAGGCTGTGCCTACACAAGCAAATAGAAGTAAAAAGTTAAGCAATTGCCTTACAATGTGTTCAGCAAATAGATGGTTTTGGTAATTTAAACCGTATATGTAGCAGTTGAAATACCAGTATTTCAGGCCTAAATTTTTCAAACAATTGCCCAAACTTTCCATTTTACTTGCTCCGTGAAATGAACAACTTGCCTCATTTCAACACCAAATCAAAAGTTTTTGAGAATATACTGTTAAGTGTGCCAAGTCTTCTGCTTTTCTATTGATATAGAGCGTAATATGATATAAAAATATTGTTAATAACAAAATATTGTTAAAAACAAAAGTCTCCAGTTATAAAACTGATTCATTCACAATTACTAAGGTATTCAAAATGCTCAACAGTTATAGATAAAATATGCATTTTCACTTTCTCTAATTGCTGGAAGAGCTCTTCACAACAGACACTGTAATGCCTAGCCCTGGGGAAGCATCATCTTAATATCCTGTTTACTGGGGAATAGAAAAAGAAAGAAATCTGAGAAAATTTAGATTAATTTACAAACCATATATTTTAAAAAATCCATGTAAAAATACTTAAAAAATGAATTTTCAAAAATAAGTAGAATGTAAAATTGGGTAGTGGTAAAAATTATTTGAAATATATTACACCACAAAACTGGGTAAAATCAACAATGCAGTTTAAATATCAGGATCAATATATATAATGATTAAAATATTTAAGTATCTTTTAACACTACTGCTGCAAATGATAAAATACTGTCTTGAGCCATATTCACTGGAATAAATGGTTAGGTACTTTGGCAATGAGTAACTTGGTTGAAAGTACATTTACTTCACAGCAATTCTCAGGCACTAAGATTTCTAAGTACTGATGAGTCATAAGATTGGGCCAAGGGTGTTCCTGTAGATATCAAATAGCCCAAATCTCATGAAGTTGCTTTGTAATTAGCAACTAGTAAGTAAAAAACAAAGTCTTACTATGATCAGTACTTACAAACCATGTCTCTGTAAGTAGTTAAGCAAAGATGATAGTATTTTTATACCTGATATGCAGCCTTTCATATTCATGAATATTGTTAGTGATGTTTATTTCTTCTGTGAAATAACCTTACTAGAGATATAAAAATACACCTTTCAGGTAAAATCATTTAATTATGCAACAATGCACAATTACAGAAACCAATGTTAAAAAGTGTGTACCCATTAAAGAAAGATCCTCCTGTGCTTTATTTTAATCAACAGGTTTTTCCTCTTGTTTATTTCTCTAGTAATGGTATTCCAAACAATAAACCTGAAATAGTAACTATTCGAGTGGAATATGATGTTCTATGTAGAAAGTATTTTAGCACTGGTCATTAGATATAATAATCTCTACTGCTAATGATGACATTCATAATTTCATGAAATAAGACATATAAGAAAACCCAAGGTTAAAAAATAATGAACCATTCCATACATATACACACTCCACACAAAATATAAAGGTTATTATATCCCAGTAAAAGAGAGAAAAGAAGCATTATTGAAACCACATCTGCACAGAGGTAGTTAATCATTAAGAATCGAATGTGTTGGAATCAAAGGAAAACCTTAAATTACTAACCTAGATGTCTTCATCATGGTGAAATGCATAAATTTCAGGGCTTTCCAGAGGTCCCAAACCTTAGGATCTGCCAGAATCCACCCCCAAACCCTCAGATTTCAACCTTAAGAGAATTTATCTCTTAAGATAATCTTTGGATGGCTCAAGGACTCTGACACTCAATCCTTCCAACGCACTGAGAAACCTGGTCTGAAAATTCTCCATATATCTCATTAAAGAAACCTAGAGCATCATCATCATTCTGCGTTGTTTGTTTCCAGGTCTCTTTCTACGTACTAAAGCGAAGAAGCATGGAAACTTCCTGCAAAACATTATGGGAGAAGCATCAGCAATCTGCACGTACACAACACTTTTCCCCCGCCTGGCAGCCGCATCAGCAGTAGCGCTAGCATTACGGGTGCTGTTTCCCCTTTAGAATTTGAACTTATCAGACCTGCTGGCTCCCCACCCCACCCCGCCACCCTCCGCTCTTTTGCTTCAGAAATACAAGAGAATGAGGACATGCTTCTCAAATCGACCTGCGTTTGGAACGCTGTCAGTTAATGCGGAGGGAAGGGGGAGAAAGTTACTTCGCAGACAGCGATGTCTCACCTTCCATGCTTGTTGCCATGGAGATGAAGTCCAGCCAGTAGACTTAAGTGTTGGCACGTTTGTCTGCGTTCGCTGATCAGTTCAGTAACAATGTAGAAGGCGTGTTCTGGAACCTGCGTGGAGTCACAGGACCCTGGTTAGCGCTTTCCTGGCCTAGAAGTGTAAACGTCTGTGTCTGTCGGTGAGACAGAGGACGTGGGCGCCCGCCGAAGTACGTGTGCGCGCGCGCGTGTTTGCAGGAAAACGTGCATGGATTTCTTCGGTGTGGCAGTGTGTAAATATTTGCGCTCGCGTGTGTCTGTGACAGCGTCTGTGTGTGTATGTGAGACTGAAAGGAGGTGGGAGATGAGGAGGGAAAGGGAATCGGCTCCAGCAGCAACAGGCTCTATCTATTCCTCAGTTCTGCTAAAAGAAAGAGAAAGAGAGGAAGAAAAAAAAATAGGCGCTCCTTTTTTCCCCTCATAACACACCCTGAAGGTTAGCAATCAGATTTCATCACTATCTTTGTTTAGTAAGGCAATGGGGGTTTAATTGATTTACTGCTGAAATCCTTGTTTTGCTCTCTCTGCTGCATTCCTGGCTGTGCCGCGGGCATTTTGCTGTGCTTTGGTGACAGCCGTTTCAGTAGAACAGTAGGCACTAAATTCTTACATGTTTCTTCTTATCCGGTAAGGAAAATTCAGGAGTGAAAGGTGTATTGGTTTAACCGGAGACTGAACGTGTCGTTTGGAGTTCGTTTCCTCTACCCTTTCCCTTCTCCCTTCCACACAAACACAATTGAATCCCCTTCCGTTTCTAGGAGAAGGCGCCTAGGCGCTGTCCGTAGTGCTGAAATGGTGCGTGTTGCGACCCGGCTCCCAAACACAAGCTAGAAGACAACAAAATAACAGCCAGGAAACGCTCTGATAAAGCCCTAGATAGCCGCCAGGTACGTTTTCTAAACAGTGTTGAATATGAAGATTCTAAACCTAACCGACATTGAAAGCAAGGCAAAGCAAAGCAACGCAAAACAAAACAAAACAAAACAACAGAAACCTTGCTCTTTATCCTTATTTTAGGGGTCTGGTCGTTTCAACAAACTCAGTTATAGGGTTCCCAATTCTATTTATGTTTTGCTACTCTATCCAGAACCTTCAAGTTGCAAGCACTCGTAGATCCCCTACAACCTTAATTATTCACCTTATAACTACTGGACTGTGAGTGGTTGGGGGAAATGTAGATACAGAATTGGGACTTTCATCTAAAGAAAATAAGTTGAAAACATGATGTAAGTGTAACTAGATTCAATAACAAAGTGAAGACAAACTTTATGATTATTTAGAGTGTTTACTGATTTAGGAAACGTAATGATCTTACAAAAAAATGGGCAATGTATAACTGGAAGTTCATAGAAGACCACATTTTTAAAAGCTGTTTTTTGATTTGAAACTATTAAGACGTCCTAAAATGTAGGTGAACTAACTGCCCCCATGAAAGAGTGAAAGACATATCTTCTTCTAGGGACATTTCCATGGCCATGGTTTTATTGACTCTTTTTAAGCTTGCCAGGGGCCACATTCTTTATTAGCACTCTGGGCTAGAGCAGTGCTTCTTGAAATATAACATGCATATGAATCTCCAACGACCTTGTTAAAATGCAGACTCTGATTCAGTAGGTGTGGGGTTGGGTCTCAGATTGCGCTTTTCTGACAATTTCCTAGGTGATGCCAGAGATTACTAGTTTTGAGACCAATTAAAGTAGCAAGATGCAGCTGGGAGTGGTGGCTCATGCCTGTAATCCCAGCACTTTGGGAGGCCGAGGTGGGAGGATCACCTGATGTCAGAAGTTTGAGACCAGCATGGCCAACATGGTGAAACCCTGTCTCTACTGAAAATACAAAAATTAGCTGGGTGTGGTGGTGGGTGCCTGTAATCCCAGCTACTCAGGAGACTGAGGCAGGAGAATCGCTTGAACTCAGGAGGCGGACGTTGCAGCTAGCTGAGATCATGCCACTGCACTCCAGCCTGGGAGACAGAGTGAGACATTGTATCAAAATAAATAAATAAAAGTAGCACAATGCTAGAGATATTGTATTCTGGCAATGCAGTCAGTCATAGATTGTGGGAAAGGAGATCATTTTATTCCATCTATTATTCTATGTATGCTTCCAAAGTGTTACAAAAATAATTTATTCAAAATTAGCTCAGAGACTAATCATGTAAACATTTTGTCTGTATAATATTAACAATTTTTTTATGAATTTGATTCCTTTGATTTTGATTTGGACATTGTCTGGACTACTGGTACAGTTGACTCTGTATTTCCATACTATGATCTACAATCCTTCATTCTCTTTGTAGGCCCAGCTCAAGGGAGCATAACTAAGTTACATGATTCTGCTGAGGATGTATGAGCCCCACTCCAATAATTTATTATCATGGTTGGAGACTGTGACTTATCATTTTATGACTTGAAATATGGCTCCATAGTGAATGCCCATGAAGCTGATTTTTAAAATCTGGATATTACGGATCTAATTCTCACCTAATTTAAAAGGTAGAATAGGGTTCTTGTTTCTTAGATCATTTGTATGAATGTTGATTTGTTATGTCATTGACATCATACACACATGCTTACATTTTGAAGGTTGCTAGTGTTTCCCATTAACGCTTCTGAATTGATGCCAAAGGAAGGCATTGACTATAAATTAGGTTCCTTGGTATTAGTTGGTGCATGACCCTGACCCTTTTCAAGCTATAGGAAAGATAATGATGCTCTCAAAAGTCTGCAAAATGGCTTATTCAGGAAAGCATAATGGATTAAAAATCCATTAGGTTTCACTTTCTTTGCTAGATGCTGAGATACAAAGATAAATGAGATTTGGTCTCTGCCCTTGAGGAGATATATGGCAAAATAATACGGCAAGTTCTACAAAGTTCTATACAAACACAGATTAATATGCTATTCATATTTTATTAGCCATTGCCAAAGAAGGGATGAAGAATTGCAAAAAGGTAAAACATGGAATAATTGTACTTCAGGTCCTTGCCAATATCTGCTGCCCAACTTTTCCAAAGATTTGCTGAAAGACATGAAATATATGAATGCCTTTCTAAAGCACATGTATAACACATGATAACCTATACTTCTGGAGCATCTGTGATTTATTTTCAGAACAATCCAAGTTATTATAAAGGTAAATATGTGGGTGGCATTGTTTATAACTTCCCCAAACAGAATTGCCTTTACTATGCTTTGACATTATAGCTCTCAGCTTATATACAGTAATTCTATATGAAACAGCTCCCAGCTTACACAATCTGCTCTATATCTACTACAGAGTTGTTATTAAAATCTTAGTCAACATATAACTTACTATTTCTTATATAAAGATGCCTAATGGATTTAGATTTCATAGACATATCCCCAAAAGCATTTCTTTCAATACCAGTTTAATGAATTGAACTTTCATACCTCTCCTCCTCACTTAAATCAACCTAGGGTAAAGTGGTATGTTCTGTTCTTACATAGAATGAAAATCACATAACTAATTAAAGTTAGCATTTATTTTAGTTACCAGGGATGTCAGAGTCAAATTAACGCTGAAAATGAATAACTATGTAAGACCTTAAGGCTTTTATATCTCTTTTTTTTTTTTTTTTTATCACCTTAACTACTGCAATTTTGATTTCTCAGGTAATGATAATATTATTTTCTTTTAGTTATCTGTTTTAATGTGTGACCTCAAGTAAATGTCCTCATAAAATCAGAAGTGGAGTAAACAAATAAATAAATAAAGTAAATTTCTCTACTTTTTGATTATTGGGTGAGTATATATGGTTGTTTTATAAATTTATTTTAAATAGGATACTAACATACAGAAAAATGTGTCATCTAATTAGCTATGAAGATAAAAATCTAAACTATAATGAGGAAATATTAAAATGTCAAGATGACAGAAGAAATTTTTCAGTTTATATAATTATAGATCAGCTTAATTTCAAACCACTTTGTTATGCTGTTGCTATTTTTATACTCTAAATAGTGTCCCTTATATGACTAAGACTTTCTGTTATCTCAGAGATTGGAAGTGTTAATTGTCCACCTTGTTAGAAGACATGGTAACTATAGGAATTTAGAAAGCATGATAGCCCCACTCTAATGAATATATTTTAGAATTAGATTGTCACAAAGAAACTGAAAACAAGAATTTCCTCTAATAACTGAGCTCGGGATTCTTTTCAGAGGAAAATTTAGCTTGCATAAATTCTTGCCATCCTGGCTCTAGTTGACTTCTTGCTGTCAACTGTTGCAAAGTGAGATCACCTTTCCCTCTTTAACCTATTAGGCCAACATGTTACTTTCAACTTTTCAGGAAAATCTACTTTTTGTTTGGCTGAGGTTTGATTACTATTCCTTAACCAAAATATTTTAATGTGGCTGTGCTTTTTAATTTGAATATTGCTATTGATTCAAACATTGGATAGCATATCTTTCAAATGTGAAATTTTAAAACATGTATTAAATACAAATATAAATTAGTTTTGGTATAACTATTTTTTAAGATAATCCAATGCTTTTTTGGCTTTAGATGATGTTAGGTAATTAGCTGTATTCAAAAGTCAACTCTTTATTTTTCAAGAAATGAATTCGTATGTATTTGAAGGCTATTTTTTATCTACCCATGTCTTTTTTGTCTACATACACAGTGTTACTCATTGTTTTGAGGGGAGGAATAAGAATGATTTTGAAATTTCACTAAGAAATATATGCCCTCTTCCTAAAAATACATATATACAGATGTTTTGCTCACAGCTCAGGTATTCATGGATCTCTGGAAGTTCATTTTTATAATCCCAAGGTAATCCAAAGAGCCTATTGAAAAATCTGCTGTAAATGAATGGTACATGATCTCATTCCCTGTTTTACAACTAAGTATTGAATGGTTTAAACTCCTACATTTTTTTTTTGAGATGGAGTTTCCCTCTGTCACCCAGGCTGGAGTGCAGTGACTCGATCTCTGCTCACTGCAACCTCCGCCTCCCGGATTCAAGCGATTCTCTTGCCTCAGCCTCCTAAGTAACTGGGATTACAAGCACATGCCACCGCTCCCAGTTAATTTTTTTTTTTTTTTTTTTTTGTATTTTTAGTAGAGACAGGGTTTCGGCATGTTGGTCAGGCTGGTCTTGAACTCCTGACCTCGTGATCTGCCCACCTTGGCCACCCAAAATGCTGGGATTACAGGCGTGAGCCACTGCACCCAGCCAACTCCTGCATATTTTAAAGCCACCCCATTAGCTTTCTATTTTTTCCCCCTTGGAGATCTTTCTTTAGGTCATTTTTACCATCTGATATCTCAAAAGTAAGCCAAGGCTGAATGTGCTAAAATAGGATTAGGGAGTATAGTAATAGGATAATTAGATTTGATTAGAAAATGACTGTGTGGGATTTTGTCAACAGTGAAGAAATGATCTAAGTACGTGGACTCCTGAGTGAATTGAGCATGATGACACTTTAATGTAGTTAATGATCTAATGCTGGTCTGGTTGATGAGTCCCATTGAAAATGAGATGCTATGTTTTCTGGTAAACTTTTCTGCAAAGAAAAATGTACTAAATGTTTCAGTTCAGAGTGATCTATTTAAATGAAGTTTCATTTAATTGCTTTTAGTTTTACTGCCCATAAGCCTTCAATTGTTTCATTTAAAGTGTACTTTAAGCCCTCTACTATATTTACTGTTGAATCTAATGAGTATGAGAGGGTACCTTGGGTACAATCTCCACGAATGTGTGAGCCATAACTACGGTATAATGTATAGAGATTAGCTTAAGTTATTTTGTTCTGCTAAAGATAGAGAAACAAGAGCAGTTTTCTTCTCTATCATAATGTATGCTTCTGTAATAGGACTCAGTTAAAAATAATTGGCAAATAGGAATGTCAATGGAATGTGGAAATCAATTGTTTTATACATGATTTGCCCCAGTACATTAATGTTTTGATTACGAAGTAAAAGCAGTTGCACTGTAAGTCCACTAACATAGCTGAAGGTAGTAAGCTGTGGAGGAAAGTAGTCCTATATACAACACCCATTCACTCCTCCTTTTTCCTCTTGGCTTAATTTGACCACATGCTCTGTCTTGAAAATGCTTATTGCACAATTCTTCCTGATCATTGTGCATTTGTCCTTGTTTTTGTAACTCAACCTTTGTTTTATTTATCCCATCATTCTTTCTTAACTCAAACAAATTTGTGAAGTTCTAAATATATTGAAATATAAATCGTAACTTTTATTTTTAATTGTGCTAGCATTTTCTTAGCTTTGTAAATGTTTTTGCAGTGCTATGGTTGTGATGTTATGTAAGTTTTACACTTTTTTGTCCAACATAAAATTTTCCCTAAATCTTGCCAGTTACTTTTGTTATTAAATAGACTTAATTTTTTTAGAGCAGTTTCAGGATTACAGAAAAGTCAGAAAGTACAGAAAGTTCCTGTATATCTCCCACCCCTTTTCTCACAGTTTTATTTGTTATTAACATCTTACATTAGTGTGATACATTTGTTAACAATTGATAAAACAATTTTATTACATTATTATTAATTAAGTACACAGTTTACACTAGAGTTCATTCTTTGTGTTGGTCAGTTCTATGATTTTTGAAGAGTCTATAATGTCATATATTCACCATTACATTTTCAAGCAGAATAGTTTCACATTTCTAAATATCCTCTATTTATCCCTTCCTCTTCCCCTCATAAACCCCTGGAATCCATTGATCTGAAAACTGTCTTGTAGTTTTCTCTTTTCCAGAATGTATGTATAGAGTCTTATAGACTCTGTTGCCCTTTCAAACTGGCTTCTTTCATTTAACAACATGCATGTAAGCTTCCTTCATGGCTTGATAGCTCATTTATTTTTTATTGTTCAATAATATTTCATTGTATGGATATACCACAGTTTATCTATACACCTGTTGAAAGATATCTTGGTTACTTCCAATTTTTGGCAATTATGAATAAAGATACTATAAACATTTGTGTGCAGGCTTTTGTGTGGACATAAGTTTTCGATTCGTTTCAGCAAATAACTAAGAGCATGATTGTTGGATTCTATGGTAAGACTATATTTAGCTGTGTAAGAAATTGCCATACTGTCTTCCAAAGTGGCTGCACTATTTTGTATTTCCACCAGTAATGAATAAGAGTTCCTGTTGCTCCATATCCTCTTCAGCATCTAGTGTTGTCAGTGTTTTGGATTTTAGCCCTTCCAATAATATACAGTGGTTTCTCATTATTGTCCCAATTTTGAACTCCCAGGACATCTGATGTTAATGATAATTTCATATGCTTATTTTCCACTTGCATATCTTCTTTGTTACGTGTCTGTTCAGATTTTTCCACTCTTTAATTGGGTTGCTTGTGCTCTTATTGTTGAGTTTTGAGAGTTCTTTGTATATTTTGGATATAAGTTCTTTATTAAATATGTGTTTTGCAAAGATTTTGCTCCAGTCTGTGGCTTATCTTTCCATTTTCTTAAGTTGTCAGTTATTTTTAATGTATGATTTTGTAGAATGTGAGTTATTTTCCTTTTTCAGGGTTCTGTGTATTGTTAAAGAATAAACACTTGCATACTTGGTATCAGATTTCTAAAACTAGGCTAGCCAAATAAAAGCCACACCTCTCATTTTAAGCAAAGCTAAACTGAAGGAATGTTTATCTGGTGAGATGCGAAGACACTTTAGGCAACTATAGGAGACAATCAGAAAGAACTAAGGAGGGGCCTTCTTTTTCAATACTACCTAAAAGTCAATATAAAATAAATTGAAGTTAGTGACTATTATCTAAAACAGTACTTACAAATATGAAGATTTTTGAGGAGAAAATATAAGCCTAATGTTCTGAGGACTGATGAATTGTAATAATGTTTTAGTCTACAGTAGTTCTACAGTAGTTCTTATGTGACTGTCCCCAGGACTTTAGACAGTGCTCAAAGCAAAGGCACTTGGGAAGAATAAGGTTTGATTTTTCAGAAATGCTGTTGATACTAGTTTCCAGAAATATTCAGAGTTCTGATGCAGAAATCTGGTTTGATGCACATGGACACTTACGCAAGCCTACATTTGCTGTGTGACATTGGGACTGTCAGAGCATCTAGACTGACAGTATTGCCATGCAGTCTCTTTAGTAGCCTGAATGATACTGCAAGGAACTCACAATTGAGATTTGTTAATGGAGTCAAGAGAATAAGATAAGTCACAAGTATTTTTACATGCTTTTTCTTATTTAGAAGTTCAGGCATTTTTAAATCTAACACACACAATGAATGAATGGATTCTTAAAACAAAACAAAATGGAGACCAGGTTTGAGAATCCTCTGAGCAGACAAAACCAGGTAGGCCATGGAAGAGTAACTTAGGTTATTTCTTGTAAATACCTCTGACAATTCTAAGTAAAACTTAAGTTGTTTTCCAGAAATGGTATAAGATGATGATTTTTAAACCAATCTGTTGTCTGAAAATCTCCATGGTAATGACAAATCACCGTAAAAGTTAAAGCTTCATTTTTGCTTTATAAGCCAGCCTATAATGCCATGCCTCTGAGCTTCCACTTACCATTTTCGGTTTGAGATCTCTCCGTTTGTAAGTTGTTGTTTCCTATGTGTAATTTATACATTTTTAAAACATTTGACCTGATTTTATTTTTTACAGTACGACTGCACACATAGGATAACTGCCTCCTTTGTACGTGAGTACCTCAGAAAGCATGCCAAATGGTTTAGAAACTGTGCCAAATATTACCTATTGACACTCAGCATCGTTTTCGCCCTTCTCAGTTCTCTCTCCTATGAGACATTTCTCAAATTCTGTTGCTAATAGTATTCCAACCTAAATTCTACCAAGGAGAGGCACTGTTACAAAATTTGCAAGGAGGAAAGGAAAGAGAAGCCATCAATTTCAGTAGTGGCTGCAGGTAACTTTGTGGGTATAGCAAATGGCAGATGGGATGTTAAGTCAGCAGATTCTGGACACAAGGAAGTCTTGAGACTTATCTTGTTGTTACAGGTCAGAGGGATCATTGGCCATGGTTCCTTGTGACTCATGCTCTTCCTAATATTTCAAACTGCAGCAATAGCTCCTAGACCTTTGCCCTCTCAGCCTTACTAATTGCTGTATAAGCCTCTAAGACTTTGTGCATTAAATCCTTTCCTAGAGGAAACATCTATGGAGTTTGACTGGATGAAAAGCTTTCTTTTCCTGACTGATAAAAATAGCTAGAAATGAAAATCAGGGAAATATATCTTGTTTATATACATACTGCATTTTGCGTATACACACATATATATATTCTGCATGTTTAAACAGTTTGTGAATTGAAATATGACATGAAATCACTTCAATCTACCATTCTGCAATACACCATGAAAAAATATCACATTAGTATACTACTGAAAAATCATAGCTTTCAACAAACTAGGCTCCTAAGCAGCTATCAGGAATGGTGTGACCCTTGAGGAAAAGGGCTATAATCCAAAAACAATTTTTGGATTCTGTTTAGTTTCATTAAATGGAGGACCACAGACAGAAAAGCAATGGCAATGCCTAAAGGCAATGGAGGTAATTTTTCACCCTAAACACGAAGAAGTTTGGATGTGGGTAGTCCAGGGCTTGTCCAGTGACTTTATGAGGCTGTCAATGTTTTAGTTTCCTGTCTTTCTCACCTGTCTTCCTTAGCTCGTGGCATTTGTATTCACACATGTTGACTCTTGGTTTCAAGATGGATACTTCACCCTTTAACCTCACAGGAAGGCAGGTAGGCAAAGAGCTTATTAGGAAAGTAAAAACCCTCTGAAAATCCCTGGTGCACTACTCCTTATAACTAATTCGATAGAGCTGTGCCTATCGTCACTCCCAGTATTTCAGGTGGGCATGCTGCTACCCTAAACAAAATCATGGTTCTACTAGTAAAATTAAAATGAGAGAATGAAA